GAGGCTTTAAAGTAGGAAGTCAACACCCAAGAGAGGTACATTCACTGTGACCCCACCAATGTGTGCAGGGGGCACGGGCATGCGAGGACCCACCTCCTGGCTAGAGCCCCGTGTCACAGAGTGCTGTGCCCATGGGGGACCCCAGTCCCAGCGAGCACGTGAAGCAACCCCCTCTCTGCCTGGTTCCTCCCGCACCTGCCCCATGGTCAGGCCGTTGGTGCTGACCGTGACCCTCAGTGGGTGGCAGGGCCTGTAGCCCCTCCAGCGTACAGCCAGGCCCTCCCTGGCCCCAGGTAGCCACGTGGGCCCCGGGCAGTGTGGCCTGGCATGGGAGAGTCTGCCTCCCCTGTGAGCTGTAGGGGTCAGATGGGCGCGCGGGGGTCTCCTGGGCCATTGTTTTGGTCACACCGCAGCTTCTACTTAAAGCCGCTGGAAACTTCTGATGAGACGCTGAGCCTGAACTGTGCTCACGGAAGCTGGGGAGCTTGGCCCCGCAGTCCCCTCTCTGACGACACCCAGAACGGCAGCCACTCGTCCGAGCAGAGCTGCGCCGCACGTGGCTGTCGCTGAGGCCCTGTCCCCTGCAGGTGGACCTGAAGGAGCAGGGGCCCCTCAGGTGCCAGGACGAGTTTGTCGTCTGCTGCCGGAGGAGGAAGTACCTGAGGCGCGTCTTCCTCTTTGACGACCTCATCCTGTTCAGCAAGACCAAGAAGGTGGAGAGCGGCCATGACATCTTTGTGTACAAGCAGTCCTTCAAGGTAGTGCCGGCCAGGGAGGCGCCTGGGCTTGGGGCTGCAGACGGGCTCGGTGGACAGGCCTGGCTGGGTCCCGGTGGGACCATATGGACACAGACGTGACCAAGGCCTAGACCCTTCTAGCACAGCCCCTTCTTTCCCAAATGGGGAGACAGGCCCCGGGGAGCCGGCCCCTTGGCTTCCCGCTCCACCCGCACCCAGGCACCTGGGGGCCACTGGGGGAGCTGTGTGAAGGCATCGAGGCTGCATGGGCCACTCTGGGGTTTTCTGTGACCCAGACGGCCGAGATCGGGTTGACGGAGAACGTGGGTGACGACGGCTTGAGGTTTGAGATCTGGTTCCGGCGGCGGCGACGGCCTCAGGACACCTACGTCCTGCAGGCGAGCTCAGCAGACGTGAAGGCTGCGTGGACCGGCGTCATCGGGAGGATCCTGTGGCAACAGGCCCTGCGCAATCGAGGTCGGGGCATGACGGGCAGGGGCAGGGGTCCACGGGGCATGACGGGCAGGGGCAGGGGTCCACGGGGCA